TTTACACGACGATATCTCGACAACCGAAAATCGTATCGAGATGAATCGAAAAGCGTTTTAAAGAGGAAGATTCCATCTTTCTAACGATCTTTCATTCGTCCATTCGACGATCACTGTTTTCGGAGTAAATTTTCGCTTTAAAATTAGAAAATATTTTTTCTCAGTAGATACGTTTCCGGAAGAAAAGCGCGAGAAGGAGATTAATTTTATAATTGATTTCAGTGGTGATGGACGTACCGTTGAATCCAGAAGCGGACACGGGCGGTTTCAGCCTGATCTACAAACAAAATATACCCGATTTCCGACCCTATCTCGGCCCCTGCCTCTTCGTGTTCGGCAAATCGATAACGCTGGTCGAGCATCCGCGGAAACGAGATAAGAAAAAGAAGAACGGTTGGGCGAAGTCGCAACAGCAGCAGCAACAGCAAACGCAGCAGCAGCAACGCGCGTGGACCGCCCCGCCGATGATTCCACGCCTAAGGGAGCCGAAAATAGTCGACTTTATCGACTATTTGAACACGGCTCGGTGTACAGCGGCCAACTGAATATTCCCATCGTTACCGCCGATGCATTCGTCCGATCGTTTACCGGATCGGGGAATCCGGCCACGAGAAGTCGCCTTTTCCAACTTTAAGTGAATAAAGGGGACGGTGAACTCTGCAACCTCGATACGGGGAAACGTGGAACAGTCGTTTTAAAGTCGGGACGACCCAGTTTTTCGCGGGGAAGGTCGAACATTGAAAACGGTTCTGGTAGGCGCACGCGTTCAACCTTTGTGCCCGACCAGTTGAAAGAGGAGGAGGAGGAGGAGGAGATGGAATTCTCTCTTCCCGGAAGAATCGGGAATCGCGTTCAACGCGTTATATTCTCAACTCGGCGGCATTAGAGGACACGAAATTTCTTTTTTGTGTATCCGTCGCTCGAGAGAGGAGCGTATATCTCGTTGGACCACGATTTTCTTCCGACTTCCACTTCCGTTTAATCCGCATTCAGCGCGATATATGTGAGGGGGTATGCGAGTTGCACCGTGCTCATTAATTGACGCACGAGAACATAACGAGAGATAAAAGTAATCGACGGTGTCGTTAGCAGTATCGTCGCTATGTCATCGTTTCTTCGACTGAAA